GAAATCTTCCTGTTATTTTTAATGGCAGGCCAGGCACACAATCAGGTGCACAGAATATCTCAGTAATGTCAGTTGATTGAAATTGGGGATATTCATACAACATCATAATAGTACTAAAACCCACATTATGAAGCGTCACTACCAAGTGGAGTCCAATTCAAAATGCCATCCTGGAACTAAACAGCATTTCTTTTAGAAAACCAATGACTATAAAGATCAGAGTGGCCACAACTCAGTCAGAGGCATCCACAGAGAAGAGAAGAAATGGCCTTGATTGCGTTGCTTGGGGTGCATCAGAAGCCTCATTTCTCCTTCTGCCCAGGATGCTGACATTTAAAGCAACAGCTCAGCTCTTCATCTTGGGCTGCCCATGGTGTCTGGGAATCCTGCAGGTGGGACCAGCTGCCCACATCATGGCCTACCTCTTCACCATCCTCAACAACCTGCAGGGGGTCTCCATCTTCCTGGTGTACTGCCTCCTCAGCCAGCAGGTACCACGGTCTGACTCCCACTCAGGACTCGTCCCATCCTCACTCCTCTCACTGATCTGACCCAGAGCATTTGCCTCTACAGGTCCGAGAGCAATACAGGAAGTGGTTCAAAGGGATCGAGAAAACCAAAGATGAGTCTGAGGTGTACACACTCTCCAGCAAGACCATGTCTGATCTCTCTAAACACAGTGTGGTAAGATCATGCATCGCTCCCAGAGCATTTTGCTAACTGATCCATTGAGCAGCACATGCCTGTCACACTGGACAACTGGGTGTAAAGCAGGTGATACCCTACAATGGCTCACACTGTTTTACACCTAGACTCGCCCAAGGCATTTCTCTGTCATGAAAGGTGGTCTTCCTCTACTTCTGCTCATTGTGTTTCTATGCTCACCTTGAGTCTTGTACAGATCCACTTATTCCTCACCTGGGCAGAGTGCTCATTTTGTGTAACATGGTGCATGTGCTTTTCATTTTACTTGGTGAGAAAATACAAAACACTTAACAGAGGCAGAGAATGGTCCTATTGTAGGTTCAATAAGCAGAAACTAATGATCTCAAGCAGTGAGGCACAAGCTTCTCAGAGTCACAGGACCAACCTTTAATCCATGTCATTCCATGCTATCCCTCTATATAAAGAAGAGGAAATACATGGTTTACATCATCATAAAAGGAAAGTGAAATAAGGATTGAGTTAGTTTAGAGAATTTCCTTAAAAGGATGCAGTCATTCTGGGTATTTGCAACACACACAATCAATGCAGAACCAAGCAGGAGAATCACAGGGTGCATAGGAGAGATCCTGGCAATGTGAATCATACCAAGCATTTGTATTTTCCAGCTTACAAAAACTTTTCTCATATTTTTTGTTCATGTGTTCTTCATATCAGAACTTGGAGGTAAGTATTATTATGTTCCTATTTGATAGCTGAAAGAAAAGTGAGATCTATGGGGTCTACATGAATTGTGCAAGGACTTCAGCAGATCCTTTCCTCCCATCACTCATGAGCCCAACACCCTGCCCGTCAAGCCTTCTGCATTTTCCTCATCCACTTGCTATTCCAACCTCTACACCTGCCTCTTCCAAAAATATTCACTCCTTGAATATCCCTTCCTTCTAACTCTTTCCTTGTCCCAGGAGATGTTCCTACCAACTTCTTCACAGAGAAAATCAACTCAGCAGGATGAAACAAGGTTAACTTTCTGTTTGCAAAAATGCCAGTCATTTGGCATCTGGTTCATTCTCTCCTCTCTCATCTTATTACCACAGAGAGACAAAATGTGCTTGCTACCCTTTAAGACTAATCCCTGCACCTACATTTGATTCCCAATACTCTTGATTTCCCAATTACTTAACCTTTTACATATCTTCTTTGGGGAAATATCAGTTCAAATCCTTTCCCTATTTGTATTGATTCATTTTATTTTTATTGCTAAGTTATACAAATTCTATATTCGGAATACATATTCTTGCCAGATACATGATTTGTAAGTCATTTCTCCCATTCCAGGAGTTGACATTTTATTTTCTTGGTAGTGTTCTTTGATGCACAAGCATTTGTAATTTTGGAGAAGTCCTGTTCTCTATTTTTTGTTTCAATTCTTGTGGACCCCTTGAAGTCCCTAAACTCTAAGATGTGCTTATCAATTTCTGAGGAAAAAAATTACCTGAGATACTGATAAGGATTGTATTGAATCTGTTGGTCACTTTGGGGAATACCACCATTTAACTATATGGTCCTCCAATCCATGAACATGGGCTGTTATTCCATTTCCTTAGGTTTCGTTGGATGTCTTTTGACAGTTTTTCATACTTAGTGTAAAAGTCTTGCACTTTTTAACACAGTATCATTTTTTACACATTCCTTCTCAGGATAATTAAATTAATAGCTAAACCAGATGACCTTGCAGCCCAGATGATGAGGAAAATTCTGAAATATCATCATTGGTGAAAAAGTCTTTTTTTTTAAGTTTTTAAAAATACTTCTTCACATTTATCACAAGTAGCTCATCATGGGACCATTGTGGAAGGAAGTGTGCAGGAATGTTTGACATCCAGTTGCTGGAGAATTTTGGTTTTCTGATCCATGTGGTAATGCTCACCTCACTATCAGCATTGCCAAGGAGCTGTGATCCAGGTCCCCAGTTGCCTGGGGTTATATCATCCGCTTCATCTTCTTTTTTGACAAAGAAATTCCTCAAGGTGAAGATATATAAAAAGAAGATCGAGTCACAGAGGACCATCTTAAAATACCATAAAAAGAAAGGACGGTCAAATACCTGCATGTAAGGTAAACAACTAATACAGTTTCTCAAGATTTTCCTGGTTTATGTCCTCGGAAACACCTGAATTACTAGCAAATTAGGACAGTTGGTCTCCATAAATATGTGCTTCAACTTCTTCACTCTCTATTTCTAACGATTACTAACCCGTTCATTAGAAAAATATATTCTATTACTTACCATGTGTTGCACTCAGATTAAGACAGATCCAGGTTCTGATTTCACAGAGCTTACACATAAAAAAAAATGCTTTCTCAGTTAGAGTAAAACCAGAACCCTGTAAATAAAGTCTCTACATCCTTACATTCTATGAGCTGAGCTGGGTAAAACAGTGTGTATTGCTACTGCATTTTTTTAGGTTTTATTTATGTATATAACATATTATCTCATCCTCAGCATATGATCTAAGCAAGATCTAAATCCAGTAGATTTCAGAAATGTCCTATGGACTCCCACTGACCACATTTGTATCACTCTGAACAAAATGGAAAATAACTGTAAATAACCATAACATATTACATTTAAAATATCCATAAGTCCACAGTGATACTTAAAATATTGGCCAATAAACATAGAAGAAATGATAGAATTAAACAGTCATAATTTTTCAATATCCAGTAAATGGCCACTAAAAGCACTGGTGAACAGGCTAGTCCCACAGTGCCAAAGAATCTTCTAAGACATTACTGATTAATTCCAGGGCCAAAGTGTGCATTTACAATATGCAGATCAGACAGCCGCCAAAGAACTAAAGATCAAGCTTAACATTATCAATAGTGGTCAGCCTGACATCATGTATCTCCTGCTAAGACGTGAAGTTACAACATTACATTTGTGCTAAATAAAGAATTTTTGGCAAATTGGCCTAACCTAAATCTCACCCATCCGTTACAACAAAGGTTGGCAAACTATAACCTGCAGGCCAAATTCAGGAAGCTGCCTGCTCTTGTAAACAAACTCTTATTATTGCTTCATAGCCACACCCATTCAGTAAGTCCTTGCCCATGGCTGCTTTCAGGCTACAGTGTCAAGCTGAGTGCTTGTGGAAGAGACTGCAAAGCCACAAAGACAGGAATGGTTACCACTTGGCCCTTTCTGGAAAACGCTTACTGCCACTTGTTCTTTCACACCTGACCTTCAGGATACTTGAAAAACAAGGGAAAGAAGCACAAGTTAAATGACATCATGAGCAAACAATCAGGCAAATCCAGAACACGGGGGAGATGACAAGCGAGTTGTCCTGGACTCTTCTATCACTGTAAAAAGTGACTAAGTCTACTCTAGATCAAGGTGACAAAAGTGACAGAACAAATTCAATGCCAATTTTAGTAGGACTCTGGTTCAGATATACACCTATGAAAATATTTGAGAGACAATTGGATACTTTGAACATGTCACAGATATTTAAACTTAGTATGAAATTGTTGATTTTCTTGGCCATGGCAATAGTATTGTAGTTACGTAGAGCATATTCCTTAAATTCTTCAATGCTTGATGATGACGTATTGAAGAATGAAGTGCTACATTGTGACCACTGAAAATTAAGTATTAGCAGGAAAACGTACGTGTGTGTGTGTGTGTGTGTGTGTGTGTGTGTATACATTGAGAAAGTTTTTTAATGTGGCACTATGATAATAATTGTTGACTCTAGATACAGGCTGTATGTTTTTATTGTTTACTTGTTCCAGATTCTCTCCACGTATCCATGTTTAAAAATTATAAATAAAAGCTATTGTAAAATGAAATAAATATATTATTTGTTAATGCATTAATTATATATATATATATATATATACATACACATATACACACACATATACACTCATGAACTTTTGGATGTACAGAAAATGCCTTTTTTCTACACAAAACCAACTTTGAAAATAGATACCTTATAAATATATGAATTTGTATGGCTATATGGTGATGGATTTAAATCTAAAATTTTTAAATGAAACAAAATTATTAAAATCTTAGAAGAAAATAAAGGGGATTTCCACTTCCTCCAGGGAACTAGAAAGTGTAAACAAGTATCACCCACAACCTAAGAGTAAGAATATCAACACAAACTACAAAATCATTCATTTTCTTGGACCCGTAGGGAGCTGTGGTAACAAACAGCAAAGTAGACTCAAGTCTAAGAAAAGACAGGACCATCCGTGGAGAGACCATCAGGAACACTGGCTCATAAGTGGCAAAGCCCAGAAAACAATGATCTGGCGGCTACAAAAATGATTAAGAGGAATTCATCAATTTTTTAAATTAATTGCTAAGGGTCAAGTGTGGAAAGTCACAAGAATATAAAATCTCTGAGGGAGTGGCAAGAATGTGAAGAGAACCTCTCAGAGATGCAGCCCCAGTGGGCAGATCTACAACTGAAAATAGAACAATAAGAAAAAAAAAAATCCCTGGCATGATCACCCAGCAACAACCACAAGATAACAAGGTAACACTAGAATAAAGTGGAGCTCAGGGTGCAGGGAATCTTAATTACACAGGCTCAAGTTTCTTCAGGAACAGCCAAGTAAAACAATGCAGAGTGCACAGTCGTGAGCTGATTCTTATGATAATAAGACACTGTGTACTCTATAGCTACAAAGTCAAGAACCTAAATTTGGACACAGTAGTTAAAGATTTGGTCATCTCTTTTATAATATCTGAGAGATTTTTACAAGAACATATTATTACACATGTGATTAAAAGGTTACAAGTTCTGCTTTGAGTTCATAAGAAAGAATACACACCTAATTCTTTTTTTTTTAACATTTTTTATTGATTTATAATCATTTTACAATGTTGTGTCAAATTCCAGTGTTCAGCACAATTTTTCAGTCATTCATGGACATATACACACTCATTGTCACATTTTTTTCTCTGTGATTTATCATAACATTTTGTGTATATTTCCCTGTGCTATACAGTGTAATCTTGTTTATCTATTCTACAATTTTGAAATCCCAGTCTATCCCTTCCCACCCTCTACCCCCCTGGTCTAATTCTTAATAGATAAGATTTCTGCTGAGTGCACTGGATTGGAACAGGGCTCAAGGAGACATCTAGCAGAATCTCTCATTGTGGTGGGTTATTTAAAATTACAACAGAAGCACTGAGTGTGTACTTCACAATAAATTGTATAAAGAATAAAAGATGTCTTCTGCAATGTTTGGATAAATAATTCCGGTGTTCTCAGGATCTACTCATTTTTGTTTTGACATGGAGATCAAAGTGAAATAAAGGAAAAATTACAATGCTCACATTTATAAGGAGGAGCAGTAGTCTGGGAACACAGGCAGCTCTGGGGCACAGCTGCCCCAGGCCTTATATGTGTGATTGCAGGGAGCCACAGCTCTCACCCAGTGTGAGGGCCATGATGCTGTGGGTGGAGATGGAACCATACGATAGGAGTCTACAGAAGCTCACTCTCTCCCTGGCCCTTAAGGATAATTCTCTCCTAAGCCATTCAGCTTCTCCTGCCTCCCAACACTGAAGCCCTGTATTCTGGAGTTGACCATGGGCCTTATTTTCTGCACATGAGAAGAATAGCTCAAGTCTTTCACAGGCAGGTCTGGGGTCTTTACCCTCCTCCATTCTCAATATCAAGTCCCTGTATCTATCAAATCATTAATCTGCATCCACTTCAAATTGGAAATTCTCCTTTAAAACTAAAATATTTACCAATAAGGAGCAGTCAAACAAACCAGAGTTTGACTACAATAGGAAAATATATAGTTCTAGGGGAAAAACCCAAAGGAATATGTACTTTAAAAGGAGTGTTTTCATGTGTATAGCGCTAGTCACAGAATCCTACACATGGTTTGATACCAGATTTTTTTTAATATATTGATGCATAAATGCATGAAGATAAACATTTTAAGAAGTTAATGGGTACATAACAAAGTGTAAATCATCAGTACTCTTGTAAACGAGAAAAAAAATCCACGCCCACATATGCCTGTGTATTGGAGGAGTCAGCTGTGGGTTAGGGAAATTGTTTCCTCTTTTGCTGCAAACACTCATTGCTTAAGTGTTTTCACAAAGAATATTCATATTTTGTGATTTGAAAAAGAAAAACAAAATTCTAAGATGTTATAAAGCAAAAAGAAAGAAACCCACATAAGTGGGTATCTATCCACTTCTCACTTGGAAGTGTTCACCTCTAGAGGGAACTTCCTGTCTGAATTGTGGGGGCAATTTACATTTTTTGGTGTGTTTGTATTTTCCATACCGTTACTCTGCTTGCTATGTCTCCCCCTGGAAACCACTTTTCTCCACAAGGTATACAAGATCCTTTGGAGCAGGGTACGGAGAAAGCATAAACCAAACTTAGTCACCCCCAAATATGAATATGCTATCTTCACTTCATGGCTTGAAAATGTGTAGCTACTTCCTGAAGCAGACAGTATTCAGGACTTTTCTCGACGCACAAACCCCCTGAACACGGTTCCTCCCCAAAACACCACAAAACAATGTCCCAAGCAGTAATCCCAGACTCACCTCCCACCACACCCTTATTGTGTTTCAGAGATGGGAAATTCAGTTTGTACTGACTTCAGCTGAAGCACTGCTCAGCCTTTGCTGTTTACTCACCTAAGACACATCATTTGGAAATGCACAGAAATATTGCAACACTATATTGTGTAACAGGAACCAACATAGTCTCGTAGGTCAAATATACTTCAAAAACAAACTATAGGAAGATTAGGTTTGTTGTTACCAGAGGCAGAGGGTGGGAGGAGGGAGAATCGGATGAAAGTGGTTAAAAGGTATAACTTCCACTTATAAGATAAATAAGTTTGAGGGTTGTGATGTTTACATGATAAATATCTTTAATACTGCCGTATGTTACGTAGGAAATTTATTAAGAGAGCAAATCCTAAGAGTTCTCATCACAAGGAAAAACAATTTTCTAATTCTTTAATTTTGTATCTATATGAGGAGATAGATGTTTACAAAACTCATTGCGATAACAATTTAATGATGCATGTAAGTAAAATTATTATGCTATACACAACTATATACGGTGCTGTATGTCAATTTTATCTCAATAAAATTAATAGAAAAAATCTTAATGAAGTATAGTTTATTTATAATATTATATTAGTTTCAGGTGTTCAACAGTGATTCAATCTTTTTATAGATTATACTTCATTTAAAGTTATTACAAAATATTGGTTATATTCACTGTGCTATACATTAAATCCTTGTATCTTATTTATTCCATGCCCCCTTAATCCTCTCCCCGCTTCTTGCCCCTCCTACCAGCGCTCTAGCCACTGGTGGCCACTAATTTGCCCTCTGTATTCATGAGTCTGTTTCTCTTTTGTTGTATTCATTTATTGATTTCCCTTTTTAGATTACACATACATGTGATAACATACACTATTTTTCTTTCTCTATCTGGCTTACTTCACTAAGCATAGTACTCTTCAGGTCCATCCATGTTGTTGCAAATGGCAAATTTTCATTCTTTGTTATGGCTGAGTAATATTCCCGCACATATATTTACCACTTCTTCTTTATCCAGGGATACTTAAGTTGCTTCCTTATCTTGGTTACTGCAAGTATGCTACTGTGAACATTGGGGTGCATCTATCTTTCTGCATTAGTGTTTTCATATTCTTCAGATACATACCCAGGAGTGGAATGGCTGAATCATATAGTAGTTCTATTTTCACTCTTTCAGGAAACTCCATACTGTTTTCCATAGCAGAAGATATGTCACTTGAAATATCTTCTCCCACTCAATATGGCCTTTTTGTTTTGTCAATAGTTTCCTTCCCTGTGCAAAAGCTTTTTAGTATTATGTAGTTCCATTTATTTAATTTTTCTTCTGTTTCCCTTGCCTAAAGAGACATATTCAAAAAATATTGCTAAGACATGTCAAAGAGTGTATTGCCTATATTTCTTCTAGGAGATTTATGGTTTTTGATCTTACATTTAGGTCTTTAATCCATTTTGAGGTTTTTTGTATATGATGTGAGAAAAGTTCTACTTTAATTCTTGGACATGTAGTTGTCCAGTTATCACTCACCACTTACTGAAGAAACTGTCTTTCCTGATTGTGTATTTTTGCCTCCTTTGTAGTGTGTGGGTTTATTTCTGGGCTCTCTATTCTGTTCCATTGCTCTGTGTGTCTGTTTTTGTGCCAGTATCATCTGTTTTGATCAATTTAGCTTTGTAACATAGTCTGAAGTCAGAGACTGTGACACCTTCAGCTTTGTTCTTTTTTCTCAAGATTGTTTTGGCTATTTGGGTCTCTTGTGGTTCCACACAAATTTTAGAATTTTGTCTAGTTGTGTGAAAAATGTCATAGGTATCTTAATAAGGATTGCTTTAAATCTATAGATTACTTTGGTCATTTTAATACTATTGGTTCTTCTAATCCAAGAGCACAAGATATCTTCTCATTTCTTTTAATCATCTTTAAATTTTATTGGCACACAGCCAAGCCATGCCCACCCACTGATGTTTTGTCCATGCCTGCTTCTTTGCAACAACCACAGAGCTGAGTCATTGTGACCAAGACTGTATGGCCTACAAAGCTGAAAATATTTCCTGTCTGGGCCATTTCAGATGGTTCCCTAACTGCTGGCACAGCACGTGAATGATCTCAGAGAACAGACCTCATTCTCTTCCATTACGAGAGCCACATTCAGGAACTGTACGCTTGACTCAAATGTCCAGCAAAATGTCAAATATGCAACTTCTATATCAAAATGTTTACAGTTAGGAGGCAACCCAAATGTTCACTAATAGGAAGTGAACATGGTACAGTCCTGCTAGGCAACATCCGCAGTTGTGTGTAAGTTATATGTGACAGATAAACTCCAAATTATATACATAATATGAACCCATTGCTGTATCATGCATGGATATATATGTACATATATATAATGACTAGAAGGATAGAAATAAAATTACAGACAGCAGATACCTATACAAAGAATGACTTGGTGTGTGTGTCTGTGAATGAGAGTTGGCTCAGAAATGGGATGTGAGAAGAAGCTAGATTTCTATAGATGTTAAATGATTTACAAGAAAAAACGTTATATATTTCTTGTGCAATTAAAAATAAAAACAATAAGTCATTAATTTACTAAAAAGAAATAAAGAGACCCATGAATGTGGAGAATTACTTTTGCCTATGACTACTGATACTCATATCCTGACTTTTATGATTCTCACCCATAAAGGATGGCTTCATCTCTGGGTTTTGAGAACAAGAAAATAATATTTCCCAGACTTTATTTTACTCAAATCTCGCTCCACAAAAACAACAATCCTCCAAAGTACAAATATTTTTGTGGGGAAGTGATGTCACTTTCTCGTCTTAAAGCTTCAGATCACTTTGTAAGGCAGGCGGCATAAAGTCAAACTCCTTCTCTTTTTCCCAGTATATTGAGATTCCTTCCAAATACCACTCCAAGCAGACCTTCCAAGTTCATCTCTCACCAACCCCCTTTTAGGCATTATTTCAGTATGGTAGCATTTTTTGAGCATTGGTCTTTAAGTGTATCTACAACTGGGAACACATCTTGGCTCAGATACTTACTAGCTATATGACCATGGGCAAATTAAGTTCATGTCCTTAAGTCTCATTTTCTTGATCTCTCAAATGGGTATAAAAAGAGTACTTTGCTCATAGAGTTGTTTAATGTATGAAATAATCTACTTGGTCATTTAATAAATAACAATTGAGCTCTTATCATGAGTCAGGCACTATGCTTGACACGAGATATCCAATGGGGAGGTAAAATGGACATAGTTCTTACTGCTGTGGAGCCAGAAATCTGGTGAAAGAGAAATCTGAATTGGCAATTGCACAATAAATGGACCTCAGTAATAATTGAGGAGAGTATGATGAATAAAATAAGCACAATTTTAAAAATTCTTTCCAAAATACAATCCTTGAGATATTGGCAGTGCTAAGTAAAAAAGAAGAAAGACGAGGAGGAGGAGAAGAGGAAGAAGAAGAGGAGGAGGAAGAAGAAGAAGGAGGAGGAGGAGGAGGAGGAGGACAAGGAGAAGAAGAAGAAAAGAAAGA